GGATAAGTCAGTGAAATTACTAAATGAAAACCAACCACTTTACACAATACATGCAACCCAACTGATTTAATACAACAAATTCTGTACACATTTGAAATATCATGAAAATAGTGTCTTTAATATACAGTTTATATACTTACAATACGCGGTTTAAATTTGTTCATATACATTACAGGGATATTTATTTGCACCTGGTTTAAATAATAATCTGCCTTCAGCCTTTTACACAAAAGCCCAAAACAGCACAGAATTCCACAAAAACCATGCTTCGTTTCATAACGGAAATGTACTAAGCCAAAGTTTTGGGGCTTTCTCATTTTTTTCCCAAGTGTTACTTTTTGACCTACCCAAAGTGAATCTAAAGAGCTAAGAACTAACAGACATTTTTAATATAATTCAGAAGATTGTCCAAGTCAAGAGAATCACTCTGCAGATTTTCACGCTGAAAATTTGGTTATTATGCGCAGAAATGGTAAAGTCTGAACAACTCACGGACTATTAGGAGTTTAAGACATAACAAATGAAGAGTCATTTATTGCTAGGTCTCAACAAGGGGCCTGCATTTCCCTACTGCTCTGCCGTCCCTAATACCGCGAATAAATACCCTCACTTGGATTAGGATTTCGTTCGTACCTTCTAGCTCATACACGGGAAAGCTGCAATTTCAGAGCAGCAAAAAGAGGAGCCAGGAGAGCTGGGCTAAGCCCTTGTCCTTCCACGTAGGGTTGGTGTTCAGGTAGCGTGGTGTATCCCCTGCCTGGCCTGCAGGCAGGACTTTGTGGACCTGCGTTGCAGGCAGGCACCCCGCTGGGTAGCATGGAAGTAACTGGTGCCAGCACACTTTATTTAGCGGGGAGACAATCAAGGAGTTGATTCAAGAAGAAAACATAGGAGAAAACACTTCAAGTATTTATAGACAGATTTGAAACATGTTGGGTTTGAGCTGGCATCACTACTTACGCTGTTTCTCTTGAAGCTGTTGTTGTGGAATAAAGTCAATTAAAGTGGCAAGTAAAATTGTTGTATTGGAAAAAACCCTGTGTAATATACAGTTACTTCAAATCTTGCTTCTAGCTGCAAAGAATGCTTCAAAATACATTTTCATTCTAATTTTAGATGGACCAAAATGTTTTCTGTCTCTAAGTTTCAAGCCGTAGGCAATTTTTACAATACGGCAAGAATAAGAACGCAAATATGCACTTTGAGTTGATTTCAATACAGCTTTGGTTAGCCAGCCAGGCAGCAATTCAAAGAATCTTAATCCTAGGCACAATGAGCGTTTAAAGGAAACCAGCATTTCCTCTCAAGTTTCCTCCCCATCCCTCCCCTGGCCAATTGCGTGTCCATCTCCAGAAAAACCCGCGTACCAGAATCCAGCTTTTGCCACTGAAGGCAGCATCAATCCTTGCGCTGCCACATGACTGTTGCATAGAAATGACGTGTTTCCTGGTGCAGGACAAAGAGACAGCTCCATACAGAGTGACACGCCAGATTTTTTTGCTACCAAAGAAAGGCTACATCTCTGTTAGTAGAAAAAATGGGTGAAAGCCTGCTCTTAGGCCCCAAGGACAACCAACACGGCTCACATGAACATGGTTGCACTCTACTACACTCCAAAACCAGACTGGTTTCCCCTATTGCTGATCTCTGAGCTGTGCTTGGAGCTGTCTGGGATCACCCATTGCACAGGCTGGTTGGGTTGCACCAAACCAAGCAAGACCCCATATCAACAGTTCAGCAACAAGGGACTCCCATGAGAGGGTGCCTCTGCCCCAGCGCTGCCCAGTTTGCAAGTCCTATCAAAGTGCTGTCTCTTCCTATGGACATCAGCTGGTAAAAAGTTCATATCACAGGAATATTTCCCAGAGCTTTCAGACACTTCCTAATCACAGTGGGAACATCAAGTTACCCTCCACCTCGAAGTACAATAAGCAGTGCAGCATTTCGTAACCTTTTACACATTTAAGTCTCCAGCTTGTACACCCCATCCTTCTAAAGAGACTGTGCAGCTTTCTGCTAAGGCCTGAAGGACTCCTCTGCTCCTGCCTCATTTCAAAAGTGCCACCAACCCTTTGTTGCCATGGACTTTCTGTGAGATCAACGCGTTCACGTTGGTCTGCCTTGTTCAGACTGCCCTCTACAGTGCCAGAGATGGTCCTGACCCCCTAACACCATGACAACAAAGCTCAAGAGGAAAGCAAATAAATTAGATCCCATGGGCATCACTGTTGCCACAGCCTGGCTACCTACACAGCTGTGGAGAGGCAGAGCTACCATACTCCAGCTTCCCGGTTTGCTCATCCCTCTCCTGATTTCACCAAGAGAGGACACTTCAGTGCAGCTTGGGCATCACAGCAGGTGGCTCGGCATCGCAGTCACATAATTCACACAACACAAAGGTTAGGAACACCTAAATAGCTAAAAAAGGCTTGGAAAATTCAGGTGATGAGCTGCTAAAAAGGTCAAATGCTAACATATTATGCATAAAAATAAGTAAGCGGTGCCAAGCCAGAACAAAACAACTGGAAGGACATCAATAGCAAGTTTGCAATTAGCGGTTTTAGCTGTACTTTTGCACACAGGATCTGCTTCTGAAATCATTGCACATTTCTGGGCCTTTCAACAGGACAGTTGTATTTTGGTCTACGCATACGTGATGTTAATGCAGCAAACTCATGAATGCAAATTCCAGCAGGCTGCTTGCCAGAAAACCCATTCCAAGCAGGTAAGCAGAGATAACAGAACAGGTATTCACCCGTAGTAAGACAACACTATTTTCTCGGGGATGTCAATATCCTGGGGGCATTCAAAATATTTAATGTTAATATTACCATGACTACCATCTTATTTCTTTTTTTTTTGAGAGAGAGAGATACATTTTACTTATTTTACCTGGAATTAACAAGCCAAGCAAAACAAAGGGAAGTGCCTGACATTTAAAAATCGACCCTTTCAAAATTGAATGCTCATTTGACATAGTGAAAGTTAAAATGCAATTGACTTCAACTTGCACATGCCTACCAACAAGCATACACACCTGAACAGTACTTGAATCTGATTTAGTCTTACTTGCAGCTAAAATATTTTAGGATGCTAATTAAAACATATCTGAAGAAAACTATTGATCTGTTGCTAAAAGTCAATACATTAAGAAAAAGAGTGGGATTATGAACTCTTGGGGTTTTTCTATTGGGATATTTTTTTGGCTCACTGCTTTCTAGTACCCACATCAATTGGGCTTTGCCCTCTGGTTGGAAACTGGTGGTTTGCATTATTGCAAGACAAATGATGCATCTTGGCTTTGTCATGGAGCCATGACATGAAATTTGCCTGGGCAACAGAAAACTCCATTTGCAAATACATTTTTTTCAATGAGTCGATATGACTGAGAAAACAGGCAAAAGCAGCCTCTCATTTTTGTCCCTCCTCTGTATTTCCTCTTGATGGTCCCACTACATGCCCTACAATGGAAAAAGAGAGATTTTTTTTGTATTCTAAAAAGGTAAGAAAGGCAGGTGATGGTGTCACCCTGGCAGTGCTCTGCTCAGCAGCAAGTGAAGGTGAAGCTGCTCCAGCATCCCTGGCTCTGACCACCTGAAGATCCTGGGCAAGCACAGCTGCTGAGGACAGACACCACAGAGTTTCCTGAATCCTTGCATTCAGTACTGCAGAAGCGGAGGATCCTGGGGTTATTTAGACACATTTTGGAAAGCTCTGCCAAGCACAGGAAATCAGCAACAGACTAGCAAAAGTTAATCCTATTTCTAGCTTTTTGAGCAGTTAAATTTGAAAGGTCTCCAGGGGCAGCCTAATGACCCCTTCCCATCTCCGTGCTCCCTTTTGACTGCTACTTCCATGCGACATCTATCGCAGTGAGTTTTTGCAGCTGGCCAGCTGAATTAGCACATCTTACGATGCTACGGTCTCTCCCACTTTGACATCCACATCCTCCTGCATCCACTGCAAACAAGTCAGGTGAACTTAAAACACCACAAGCGTTTCCCAAGGCATGGCCCAAACCCTCACGTGGCCCCTTCTTACCAGCATGCAATGTGCTGTTTCTGTTCCCACCTCGCTAATGCTTTATTTCAAAGGCATCCTACAGGAGTTCTATCACCTTCCCCCACAGATCCGACCGCAGGAATAGGATAGCACATCAAGTGCATTTTCAGATGGTGCTAACAGCAGCAGAGGAAATATAAGGGGTTGCCTTTTGCCAGAGCAAGGGGGCTGTGCTAGCAGGCTACTGCAGCAGGCGGGATCTGCCGAGAGAAGGGTCTGTGCACTGAACTGCCTTTCCCATGAGAAAGCTGCACAACTAGAAATCATGCTACTTACTCCAGCCATCCGACTACAAAAGCAACTTTTGAAATCTACAGGTCATAAACTTTTAATTGGCCAGGGCAGAGTGGCTCAGTAGGAAAATCCCCCTTCTCCCTCCCCTCTGGGCAATGAGCTGAGCAAGACTCTTGTTTTAAAAACATTTAACTCTTTTTGCCCAAAGTCACAGGGAAAGTGTATCTACATTACAGGTAGTCAGGAAGGTATTGTTAATAAAAATATGCTGCAAGAATATGTATTAGTGGCACTTCACAGCAATTCTTAACATTTTCAGATGTAGTGTCAAAATGATGTTTTTGTATATCTGGACATGCTTCTTGTTAACAGAAATGGAAGAAAGTCACAGCATGTTGCCAAATATTATTTGAACACAAATAATCCCGTAAGAAATAAATTTTTTTTGCAGTTAACACAAAACTGTAAACTAGATTGGTGTGTGTCTTTCAGCATCAAATTGTTCAGTAATAAATACGACTAAGTCTTAACAGACTACAGAGTAAAAGTTCCCTTAGTGTCCAGTTTTTAGCAGCTGTTGAACGTTCAGGGATGCACAAGGCACACCTCTGCAGATTCTCTACTTTTATTATTGACATACCAAAAAAAAATAATCCATCCACCACTCAAAAATGTTTATCTGCATAGTAAGAATTTTTCTACTACTATTTACAGGAAGGGCATTTAGTGCAAAAAACAGGAAGTGATGTATCAGCTGAAGTGCATCGAGCACATCTCGTACAGTTTCACTAATAACTAGTTGGCATCACATCTTGGGCCGCCAGCCATTAATGAACTGTAGTATTTTCTTAACCTGCAATTTGCTTAGCTTAAAGTCTTCTGACAGGATTTCTTCTGTAAGCTGAACCAGTAAATTGCCATCAATCTTCTCTGTAACAAAAAATGATATGACATCTTCTGACAGACCAATAAACCTCAGCGATTTAGACACTTCCTCTATTGAGAGTCCAGAAAGGTCCGTGGGTGGCTGCCAGGGAGAGCCATCCCCACAAGATCTTGGTGCTAACTGGAGGTGGAGGGGAGATGAGAAGGGGTAAGACACAGAGAACGTATCCTGCATGCCCTTTTTAACGAGATACTGATCTTCCAAGAGGTCTGGAGAACTAGTTTTTGACTCCTCCTCAGCACCATCTATTTTCAGCGGCAAGGGACATGTGTCTGTAACTGTCTTCTCTTCACTTGACTTCGGTGCCCGAGGAGGTAAGGCAGGACACGAATGGCTCTGCTTTGTGTTGCTGACTCCCAGAGTTTTCTCATCAGTGCAGTCTAGAGAGTAACTTGCTGACTTTGGACAGCTAGAGATGGTGTTTGTGAACTCTGCTGGGGTCAGCGGGGAGTACCCCGCTGGGAGCTCACACCCATCAAAGTCAAAAGTCAAAGGTGCTGGACAGTTTCTCTTTGGCGTACCTGGAGTCTTCTGTCTGGGGTAACTGTAGCTCCTGCTTGGATCGAGCAGGAAATCACTTCTATTCAGGCCTTCAGTAGTTCCTGAAAAATGGTTTGGCCAAGATAGCCTTGAAGGCAGAGCTTCAGTTGAGGGGCTTCCCAAAGGTATCGTGCTCTCAGGCTCTTTGGATTCGGTTTTCATCATGTTACAAGGGTAGCAGGAGACAGGTGCGCTCTCAGTTGGGTTGGTGTTGTCAGTCTCTGTGACATTGCTTAAGGAACAAAGCAGAAAGGATGCCATTAGTATGAAAAAATGTGGCATTTGAATAAATTAATAAATCATCTGACAGAGTCAGAGGGTGGCTGTCACAAGGAAAGAATCTTCTTTCCTCTGGCAGAACTTTTCTGATTTGAAATAACAACGCGTTTGAATAATGCACTGACAGTTCCTTCTACAAGCCTGACAAGATGCTGATATACCCAAAAGCCTCACATGTTGTTTTTTCAAGCTCGTAAAAAAGTAGATGTCTCAATTCGGTTCTGTGTCATCTTCCAAATACTCAGTTTTTCCACTGTTGAATTCCTGAGGGACACTACCATGGAAAAGGAACAGCCTCACATACACTAGAAGATATTCTAATCCTGTATTTAGTGCTTATATACACCACAGATGTGTCATGGCACGAAAAAGCTCATAACAGGGGCAGGTCACCATTGCACTAGACCCACGCTTGACTGACATAAGAGATGACCAAAAGCCCTTTTGGAGCCAACATTTTAATTTGTTACGGCACTTGCATGTGCACAGGGCACAGGATCCTTCCCCACTGCTCACTGGTGCAAAAACGGCACCAGTGCACAGTACGATGACACAGACTAAGTGAATGCTTCCTGCCAAAGGAAGAGTTTTACCTGGAAGGGTAAGCAGACCCAGCTGCATGTGTTGAAGCATCAGGCTTTAAGCTTACCCCACAGTACCTTCTTTGTGTGTCCATACCCTTAAAAAGCTATGATGAGAACCACCTGCTTTTCAAAGGCACCTAAAGAAAGTTACCCTGACCACTTCCAGGTGGTAAACTAAGCTCAGCCTGTCTGAGGGAACTGATGGTTTATATCCAGGTGCTCCTGAGAGACAGAGATGCCAACAAAAGCATGCAATCTGTTATCAAAAGCAAACGTTTGCGGCTTTTATGTCACTTTCTTTTAGCAAGTCTGAAGGACTGAGAATTACAGAATCTGGAATTCTAGCCAATTAAGCCAGAACACTGGAAGAACAATTATAAAATCCTCGCCTAACAAAACAGAGGGAAACCAACAGTTGAAATAATTATTTTAATTACCCACCTCTCTCTTCTGGAAACTACCTACTCAGGAAAGAAACTAGGCAGTCAGTCTTTGACAGCTCAGTGAAAACTGCTTGAGACAAGCAGCAGCTTTCGAAAAACCAGCATAGTTTTGAATGGATTGACACAAAAAATAGTTCCCCATGAGCCTACAGTGAGTCAAAGAGGAAGCCAACCTGGACTTGCCCAGCTCAAACACAGAGTGCAGATATGTAAAAGCAGCTCTAATCTATACAACTGGAAAATTAGTTATAAAATTCAGCCCCAAGAGATGCAGTTTCCCCCTCTGTCTAACCATCCCTCGCTCTCCACTCCACGTCCTCCAAATTTTTCTTTTTTCCTGTTTATGTCACGAATACAAGTCTGCAAGGTAAAGCAGATGGATGTTTACAACGGCGGATTTTTTTTTTTTTTTGCCCTCAACAAGGATACACTGTCAACTGCTCATTTCTGGCTGTTTAAACGCCAACTGCTGTAACATACACAGTGCAAAGCACTTTTCACAAATCTAGCCATTGGGCTGTTCAATTCAGAGAAGACAGTCAGTGAGGTGTCATAAACGATACAGAGGAATTAAACTGATTGATCCTGTTTCCGCTCTCTAATTCAACATTTGAAATGGGAACATTTAATGATTTAAAAGATTAATGGAATTACTGGAAACTGATAAAGTAACATTTTCAAAGTGCTTCCTTATTTGTCCTGCACCAAAAATTAAGTCACCGGGACTCAGCGCCAAAGGATGCAAGAGAAACCTCAAATACAGCTGAAGTCAGACATCAGACATTTTTATAGGCAGATAAGGACAAATCATATTGGTTTTGTTTGTGTTTAAAATATTGGCTGAAACCCTTCACAATCCAGAAAATAAGATCATTGATAAAAATGGCAAGACTTGAAAAGCAACTTCACCAGCAATCTGGCTACTGCCCACATTGCCAATTCCAGCAGCTTTCTCTGCAGCACTAGGTCAATTCTACCAAGATGGAGATATCTGGTCTGGACCCAAGTTGGAGATGAATTTCCTGCAAATATTATGAAGTTTGAGGCAAATAATACCACCTGTATTCCTGAGAAACTTCACTTCTCATTGTTTTCCTGGTTTCTAGGGAGGCAGATGTATTCTTAGCTACAAAGAGAGAAAGCAGCATTTGGTGGGCCTCAAATGCTGGGAGGTCTGGTGCCTCCTGTGGAGTAGACCTTGACAGAACTACCCAACAGGCTTTCATAAAAACAAATGAGCAGCCCTGATCTAGAGTGATCATTGCCAGATACACAACACTAAGCTGCAAATGTGCAGTATGGTTTAGGAAGGCAATTCCAGCACAAGTTATTATGCCAATTGCATCTAGGCTGAAATTATTTCAGTGGCGTTTCAGATCAGTTTGTAATATCCAGACAGGCAGTATCTTGTCATTGAATATATACCAAAAATAATGGCAACAAGACAACAAAGTCAAAAAGAAGGTGAGACTTCAAAAGGCATATACACTTTCTAAAGCCTAAGGAAGAACACTGCATTGCTAGGAAAAGGTTTGCAGCCACATAATTCAAAATCTACTGTCAACTTTCGACTAGCCTGAGTGGATTTTCCAGTTTGTGGGCTAGGTTTGTGCTGAAGTGGGTTTGATCTGGAAGCTGTCTGGTGCCCTTCTGCTACACCTCACTTTGCACTCAGTGATGTCTGCTGGCCTCTCTGTTCTCCATCACACCCACCCCATAGGTTCCCATATAGTTGGCACAACACATTTCTGGATTACCACACCCTTTTTGTGCCCCCACTTATCAGAGCTGGCTGCACTGCATGCATGTAGCACTGAAATCCCATTCGAAAACTAGCTTTGAGATGTTCTGGTTTGAAGATTCAAGCCTTTCAAGAATTATACAGAACTGTACGGGACTTTCCATTTAGACAGCCTGTGCCACCTTGCAGCGAGACTACCTATAGCAATATGTGCAGATATTTAATATAAATTGCTATGTCTTATCTAGTAAAACATAGTTTCTGCTGGAGCTTTGCTTCCTCTTGAATCTTTAAAAATAACTTGACGGGTTAGCCCGTTTCACAAAAAGTCAGCAACTCTGACACAGTACCATGCCTTTATAAACAAATGCCTTCAAAAAAATACTGCTAAATTTAACTTTCTCAAAAAGTGCTAGCACGGGGCTCTGACAGCTCAGACACATACATGTTGTGCAGTCCTGAAGAGTAGTAGGACAGAGTAGGGCTAGGAGAGCGGGTCTGCTGTCGTGCCGGTTTGACTGTACGAGGAGGGATGGAAGGACTGGTGGAGGATGGCTTTGAGCTCCGTGGTGGGACGGGGGGAGCATTCAGGAGCCTGCATTCCTCTTTTACCTGTACAAAAGAAGAACATGTAAGTAAGCAGTGAGAAAATCTGGGCAACAGCACTGTCAGCCAGATGAAACACATCTGGTTCTGCCTTATTCTGTGAAAGGAAATAATTAAAAAGGGAGGAGAAGAGAAAAATGATCCTAAGTATATACATTTGCAACTGTATGTAGCTGTCATAAAGAAGCCCAAGAGAACGCCTTGCTACCAGTCGAGCTACTAGCGATCTTTTTTAGGGTGCTTTTTAGTAGTTTGATATCCACTCGCTTAAAAAGTAGTAGCAATGAAAAAATGTAAAAGAACCTTCCAGTAACATCCAAAATCAGACAGACTGTTCCAGACATTTTACATTTTGTAAGGAACAATTCATTAGTCTTAAACTTCATTAGTGTTGTTTATTTAGATGTAATAAACCAAGCCTACGTAATGAAAAGATATCAACAGACTTTGATGTTTCCTGACTTACTTCACCAGTGATACTCAGCCAGCTCTAGGATAATTCCCAGCCTTCCTCCCCCAGGAACAGTACACGTATCTCTTATTTACCAGATACCGGGATTCAGACCTGGAGCTTCAGTCCTTCTGTAGCTGTCAAAGCAGTCCAGGATAAGGTTAACTATGTAACCTACAAGTTGAAAGGTGTGGGCAGAAGAGCCTGTTCAAACAACGCACCCAGTCAGTCGGTCTACTTTTTGCAGCCAGCCAACTTTGCAGCTTAAAACACATGACTGTAGCACTGCTTATCTGAAATTTAGTTTGGTCTGCCTAGGTAGAAGCAAAATATCAGGATCCATCCCCATAGAAAAAATGATGGAATTTAAGACCTTAATCTCATCAGTACATATGGGGAGGTACTCTTGATCAGGGAGTGTAGTGATAGGACGAGGGGTAATGGTTTTATACTAAAAGACGATAGATGTAGATTAGATATTAGGAAGAAATTCTTTACTGTGAGGGTGGTGAGACACTGGAACAGGCTGCCCAGGGAACTTGCGGATGCCCCATGCCTGGAGATGTTCAAGGCCAGTTTGGATGGGGCTTTGAGCAACCTGGTCTAGTGGGAGGTGTCCCTGGCCACGGCGGGTTGGAACTAGATGATCTTTAAGGTCCCTTTCAACTCTAACCACTCTATGATATTTGGGAGAACAACTTTCTTAGTAGGGCTAGAAGTGAGCAAGGTTACTGAGACTGGCTGCCAGGCAGGACTTTTAAAGGCTCACCACCTTCCCTCTGGGCAGGCGGAGACCTCTATGTTCTCCTTGTCTGAAACAGTCTTAGATGCACCAGAAAAGGGAAATTCTCTTTGTGTTTGAAAGTTATAGTTTATTTTTAAATTTAACAACACCGCAGAACTAAAAGTTATCTTAGCAGTTCTGCAACACATAATTAGCAATTAAAGTGATTTAATTTATTTAAAACCAAGATAAATGTGGAACCTTTTGCAATCCACTTCAGTGCTTTCAAAATGCAACAACCCATTTAGCACTTTTGTGAAATGGAAAATTGGGAACTAGGACATTGTAGTACATTTTTTCCCTAACTCAAAACAAGTCAAAATTACAGGAAATGCCCAACAGCATAAAACACTGAAATAAATCTTGCTCTAAGGGTTCTTATTTGCTCTTTCAAGAAAAAAAAAAAAGAATCAATTTTATTCATGTTTGTTATTGAATTCAGGCATAAAACTCTTCAACCATTTTAGTGCTGTGCCCCAAGGATGCCTAAGGACTTCATTTTATTTTTTTTTTCCCCAAGCCAGACTAGGCAAAGTTAATACTGCATGCTATTGAATATATACCCATGGGGTTAGAGAGACCATGCAGGGGAGCTCTTGGAGCACAGCAAATGGACAAGGGGTTAAAGGGATTCTTTCCTGGTCAGACTGCCGGCATTCAAAGGTGCTGGCATAACAAACCATGCCAAGCTCCCTTGCTGACCTAGATTGCTGATCAGAACGAGGCCATAAATAATACCAGTTTGCAGTCCCAGTTGGTCCCTGTCACAAGACTGTGATTACAGCTGCCAGACACAGCCCTCAGGAAACCCAGCAGAGGAATAAAAAGGAGAGATTTTGCAGATTAAACCGACAAGAGCAAGGGGAAACTTCAGAGGAGAGCTGCTACCCTCGCTGGATCCCAGCGAACAGCAATGAAATACACGTGGGAGAGGAGGGGAACAGCCGCGGTGTGACACAACGACTGCAATGGCTGGTGCGGC